TTAAGATGTCATCAAACATTTTTGCTTTTATGTTTCTTTTATTGCTTATCTCAAGTCCCATTCTTGGACAAATTTCTCCTACAAGAAGCAGAACTCCTGCCGCTAGGACTAGATTCGGGGCTGCTGGAACCACACCTACCGGAAAACCGAATGCTGCACAAGGAGGACCTGCTTAACTTTAATCTACATGATCTGCCTCTTAGTGAAAAATACTTCTGCAGATTTTTTGTCAATAATGTGCTTATTTGATTTTTCATATAGTCAGCCATATATGTACAATGGTAATCACCATTTAATGTTTTTATATTATTTTGAATTGTTTGGTGGTTTGTTGTCAATATTACAAGATCGTAAATGTCACTCATACTAGTACTTGTCGGAATTTTTAATGTTCGTCGAATGTTTTAAATAAAAATTATAATATTATTGTTAAAGGCAATACACATTTTAACTCAGATGATGAATGTTAATGATAACTCGAAATAAAGTATTTACTGTAATATACATTTCATATACCATATTGTATCTTAGTATCACGTCTTCTCCCTCACTCAGTATGCTTATGATCTTTTGCTCGGCGCTCGGCCCAAAGTTTTTGAAATAACTCTAACTTTTTTTTCTCTTTCCTTGTTTATTCCTTCAGCTGCATAGGAAATTACCTGAAGTTAGATAGATTAGATTGATAACTCTGATAAGCAAACTGCATAACATATCAATATAATATAGTATAATGATAAAGTGACGAGAGTCGATATCATCATTATTATTTAGTATTTAATTCGAATTAGTGTAACAGTGATGTAATAATGTTTTTTCTTTAAAATTTATTTAGCTTATTAATAATTAAAAGTTTTGGTTGCACAACATTCAATCGGTTATAAACTATCCCACCTTACTATTACCCCACAAAAATTTCATTTTTAAATATATACACATAATGCTATACGATGCAAATATTTATTTATTTTTATTTTATTTTATCTTTAACTCACTTTAAGTATGGTTTTTTTTTTACAAAATTTTATTCGGACATAAAATACATTTTATATTACTTTTTATTTATTCATTATTTTAATATATAATATCAATAAGTCTTAAGTTAATTCAAGAAAACATTTAGAATGGGTTATAACATAATAGGCTTAGATATAAATATCCATTTGTTTTGATGTCCAATCAGAATTTTTTAATCAAGTAGTGTTAGTTACGAATAAAATGTTTTTTACTATAATAGTTAATAGGATTTTGTATTTTGTATTATGTAGACGTTTATTAAAAATTTCGAATTAAAAATAGCTTCTGATACTTTATTATTGATATACTTGTGGCATGTAGATCGTAAAATTTTTATGGAAATGCAGGTAAATTAGAACTAATGTGGATATTATAAACAATTTTACTTTTACAAAGAATAAATTACGCCAAATTCGTCAATATTAACAAAGAACAAACAATAAAAAATTTTTACTGTATAGGAAAATGCGGAACCTAATATTATTGTAGATCGCGGATAGGTATTAAATATAAAATATTTCGAGCCTTTAAAGCATTCCGGATCGGAAAAAGTTAAAATACTTCAGGCATTTTATGTATTCCACTATAGATAAAAAAAAAAACCTCAAGTTATAGATGAATGCTGAAATTCAAAAAGGAAATTACAATATTACTTGATTATTGTTTTAATTTTTCTTTGTGAATTTCGACATCCATCCATACCTGAAGTTTCCTCGAATAAAAGTTATTTTTTTAAGCATGCCTACTTTTGATTCCAAATCATAGGAAGCCCTATCATATAATGTCCTCAAACAAGCATCCAAATTGAAAAAGTATAAAAACTCTTCTTTTTCGTAAAAAAGCCTTCTAACATTTTTTTATCTCAAAAAAAATAATAAAAATAAAAAATAATAAAAATAAAAAATAAAAAAAATAAAAATATAAAAATAAATTCTTGACAAAATTTATTTTATATTACTTACTAAAAACTTTTTATCATGAATCATTCTACAAATCATGCTCAGCCGCAGAATAATGGCCAACTACAAGGATCCTATAATGTTAGTGGTCCGCAGAATGCCGGTGGCTTATTTCAAAGGACCCTAAATACTGGCACACATTCAAGACCTCAAAATACTGTAAATATAATTGTAAATACCTTCATTGACGTTCAACGATACATTGACCTAGTTGAAGGTACGGATCCATTTACTAAAACGCAAGGTATAGAAAATTCACAATCACAGGACGTCCAATTTTCAACGTTGTTGATTTCAGGGTATTCTTTCCCATAAACTTAGCTATGAATAAATATATTTTCTTAAGCTGGTTCTATTATGATGAAATAAACATTATATAATTTTTATAGGTTTATAGATTTTTTCGTGTTCTAAATATAATTTTAATTACATGTAATTAAATAATTACAAATTGCAAATTTTATAGAATTTTTTTATACGCCATTATTTTATAGGGAATTTCAGATTTATGGAAATATGAGGCAACATATAAATTGAACAGTTTTATCATTTATTATATAAAACACACCTATGAAGATTTCGCATCTATTATACATTATATTTTTATAGATTTATCCAAGTTTTTAAAATTTTAAAAATTTTGGCCCAAATTTTCATGATAGAGTTAGTATCTATAGGTGGGTTTGGGAAGGGTTTTTAAGAGCATAGAGCATCGCATATTATTAACTAGTCAGATTTAAAATATTGTAACATATGTGGTAAAATACCATAGGAGCGTTTTAGTAAAGTGTTTTCTAATTCTTATAAATTTTCTAAAATCAGTGATTTTAACGTGATTAGTGGCAAAAATTCTTGCCTATAACTAATAAATATGGACAAGGAAAAATGGTTGTAATCCAAGTTAAAATGAGAAATAAAAAATTTAAAGGAGCTATTATTAT